GAGATTGGTAGGATTGGTACCAATCCTGACTGGAGATTGGTAGGATTGGTACCAAGCCTAACTGGTAACAAGCCCGACTGGTACCAATCCTACCAATCCCCAGTCGGATTGGACTGGTGCATGCCTACGCATAACTTGGTGATCGCTATGGATGAATTCAGCGCAATATTCACTCACTTGGTTATTTAACAAAATGTCTTTTCCACTATCGTGAATTCGTCCGCCGATATAGGAGTCGGCTTCGAAGACTGTAATGTCGAGAGTTGAAGGAACATCTGATAGAGTTAAGGCAGCTGTGAGACCACTGATACCAGCTCCAATGATTGCAATCTGCGGAGGGCGAGGATCCGATGCAAGTATTTCTAAAGAAAGATAAAATAGTCTGTGACTAGACATAAAAAAGGGACCGTAGGCTTACCTCGGTTTTTATTATCGAACGATTTGAAAGAGGCAGCAGCATTATGAGCACCCGAATTGTGTGGACCTAAAAGGATATCAAGTTTTGTGATTCATGTAGTGACTAAACGAGAAAAACTATCTCTGCCAAGGTAAAAAAACCGCAAGGTAGCACGGTTATCACCTGTTTTACGATGTAAATCTTTTCTTCTGTCGCCATTGTGATGATGACTCGTTGTTAAAGCAAATTCAACTAGAACAAGAAAGTAGATTAGTGAGAAGCGCATTCTCATTTTTGCTGGGCTTCTTGTTTTTTACACAGTATTCGTTTTCTCTGCCGTTTGGTCTTTTCACAGATTTTAGAAAATGTAAATTTAATGTCATTGCCGCAACATCTGGTTTTCATTTTTGTGAGGATCTGTGCGTGATCACAAATGTTCTACGGTCGAGAATGTTTTTCTCTCTCTCTCCTAAGTTAAGAACAATTGGAGCATGGCAGTAACATATTTAGTTTTTTCAGACGCGAAGTTCATAAGTGAGAATGTGAGAAACATCTAGTTTTATGATTAGAACGAGAAATTTTTATGAAATTTTTAGAGAAAAATTATCATATGTTTTTCCAGAAATCTAAATCTGTACCGGAGCTGAGCAAGTCGAATCATTTTTGACTTGAAACCTTTGTAACTTGAAAACTTTTTAAAAGACTTGACTTGACTTGTGGCTTGGCATAAAAAATCAAGTCAAGTCACGCATATTTTTAAAGATCTTATGCAAACTAAAATTAAATAATAATTCATAATGTTTTGTGAATGTTGATGTTATAACGCAGTCTCTCAACTGAGATATAATTCATATTTTAATCAAGTATGTCAGCTAAGAAACCATTTCTTCTGCGAAAATACTCGTTTCTCAACTGAGATACGATTTTGACAAGTGCGTTGAAACGTGCTATTGTGCAAGAGTGCAGTGTACAAAGGTCTATTATTCATTAGTTCTACAAAAGCTACAAGAAT